ACCTTTTTGTGAAACAACAGTACCTTAAAGAGATACGAGGTTTCTAGAAGACACGTTCCCTTCATCTGATATCATCTCTGAAGCTTGTAATCGTAGGCTTGCGCTTTTACAAGATTGCTGGTTTGATTGTGGGAAATGACTCGCGTTGAACATGACAGAACACATGTACGCATTCTCAGAGTGTGCCGAGCAAAAGACGATTAACTTAGATATGCCTGAAAAATCCCAAAATAGCATTGCTGTTCTGTGTCTCCAGATCTGTATCACCGTCCAATCACATCACAGTACAGGTTGTCTTTGTGTCTGATAAGTCTGCCATTTATATTGTGAAACACTTAAAAATGTCAGGTTCAAAATGTACCAAATGTTGAACAAAAAAGTATCAAGGCAAAAATGCAACCATGGGTAGTAAACAACTTAAGCACAGGGATTGTTCTGGCCCACTGTAAGGGTATCCTTTACAGCTTGAATGTCATGTTAACCTTTTTTGTACAACTAACAATGCATGTGTGTCAGCTTTAAGGTCAAACTTGAGCTTGTTGTGTGTTCAGAAACAAGACACCAAACGTGATAAGACTTTCCCTTTCAACTTTTACAGAGGCATTGCATATCAAATCCCCTCCTTTCAGAATAAAAGCCCTAGACATGTAATACTGGTAAGGTGTTTACATTTTCTGTTTTTGTTGCAGTGGTGCTGCATTGATTCCAAGAATTTGTCAGAATTTCAGACAAAAACTGTTTATAAAAATACTGATGACTGCAAAAAATGTTACTCTTATGGGTTCTTCTTGGCTCATGCTACACCTTTCCACCAAGTTTAATGAAAACATTTCTGGTATTGTTTCAGTAATCCTGCTGACAAATGGATAATCAAGCCAACAGACCAAACCGAAATCACAACAGAGTTAATAATAAGAAATGGTCTGTTTTATCCTGTAAATGTTCTCCTTTGCTGGCAGATATTGAGTGCTCCACGCTCTCTTTCACACTCCCCCCCCTCCGTCATCCCTCTCTCTGCTAGTCAGCACAAGTGCTACCCTTGGCTTGATGCATTAACCAGGAAACCATTGAGTCCTCTATAAGAGGGGTTATGCCTCATTATGACAGAATAACAGAGCCAAAATGGACTCCGATCCCTCCCCTCCGCTCCATAACAGTAATACTATCAGTGAGCCTGCAGCAGTTGGGGCTAATCCTGGCCGTTTAATGTATAGCCACGCACTGCACCTCACTCAGGGGCTCAGCGTGGCTCCTATCAGCATCCAACAGACACTCACCAATACACACACACTCACACACTCTTCATAGCCATGGAAATCCACATTCTCCCTTTGAACTGCCTCATTGCTTCTTACTCATATAAATGCCACCCTCTGCCTGCACATTCAGGACGGCTAAGTGCTTTTGTACCCATGCACGGTGGAAAAAAAACATCCTCTTCAAATGTGTCACATAACACCCGACGAGAATAAAAAGAACAGTGGCTCTTTTGCTTGACTTCATACATGGGTATTCATGGTGACCTTATAGTTATTGATGCAGACAGGGACAGGAAAAACACATTTACACACAATTATATGAAATCACATGGATGTACATGCTTCTGCTCTCTCACACACACACACACACACACACACACACACACACACACACACACACACACACACACACACACACACACACACACACACACACACACACACACACACACACACACACACACACACACACACACACACACACACACACACACACACACACATACAGTTTCTTTTTAAGGTCAAAATGTGTACAAATGTGTCAATCCATAGTGGTTCATTCCTGTGATGGCTGGAGGCAGAGGTCACAGACAGAGCCTCCCTTAGCCCCTCTTGCAATCCCCAATACACACATATGGAAACACACACACACACATGGAAACACACACACACTCTCTTGCGTATAACACAACCCCCACGCGATAAAACGGTACACAATGACAATATCTTGCGAATGTCTGCCGTCATTTGTCTCCATTGAGCTGCAATTTATGAAATCGTCTGACTGTGCCACCTACAATTGCTGTCATTACGGTGTGTGTGTGTGTGTGTGTGTGTGTGTGTGTGTGTGTGTGTGTGTGTGTGTGTGTGTGTGTGTGTGTGTGTGTGTAGGGGGGCTGTCATGACTGCTTGGCGTGTGGGGCTGCAGAGCGGGGTCTGGTGTCCTTCAAATGACTGTGAGAAAATATGAGAGGCCGTCTAGCTCACAACTCATACTTGGTCTTACAAACAATATCAGAATCTCACACATACACCATTAAACTCTTGTATACATATTGCTAAACACTTTTACACGCACAATCATACTCTCTTTCACACACTTTTGTCTGGGCCATAAATCAAACTTACTTACATACCAAACTGTACTTTCTTAGAAACACTATTATTCCCACTTACAGACCACATCATACTACAATATAATACTCTAGTAGTGTATGCAAGACAGGAAACGTTGTGTGTGAGAAAGAATGATAGTGTATGTGAGAGAGGGATTGTAGTATGTATGAGGGTATAGTAGTGTGTGTGAGAGAGAATGATAGTGTATGTGAGAGAGGGATTGTAGTATGCATGAGGGTATAGTAGTGTGTGTGAGAGAGGGATTGTAGTATGCATGAGGGTATAGTAGTGTGTGTGAGAAAGAATGATAGTGTGTGTGAGCGAGAATGATAGTGTATGTGAGAGAGGGATTGTAGTATATATGAGGGTATAGTAGTGTGTGTGAGAGAGAATGATAGTGTATGTGAGAGAGGGATTGTAGTATGCATGAGGGTATAGTAGTGTGTGTGAGAGAGAATGATAGTGTATGTGAGAGAGGGATTGTAGTATGCATGAGGGTATAGTAGTGTGTGTGAGAGAGAATGATAGTGTATGTGAGAGAGGGATTGTAGTATGCATGAGGGTATAGTAGTGTGTGTGAGAGAGAATGATAGTGTATGTGTGTGAGAGGACATTGTACTGGGTGTGAGAGAGTATACTTTAAAAGGAAGTCAGGTTGATCCAACAGGAAGCCATTTTAAATATTCATTCCTTGACTGGTTTACAGCTTTGAAAACGAAGCCTGAAGCTGCTCAGAGCCCTGCTCGCTAAATTTGAGCTGCAATAAGAACTTTTAAGATTGTTTTATAGGTCTGAACAGTATGAAGAAAGCCATGATATTTCTTTTTATGTACCTTCTTCTTCAGGGACAGTTTATTTTCGTGGAGGTTAATGAGGAAGACATTACTACTTTTTTCACTCTAACGGTGCGGTGTGCTCAGAACATTATGAGGGAAAGTGACAGCATGGGACCTGACAGCATGGTTTTGGACAGATTATTCAGTGAACTTGCTGGATACCAACGGACATTTTTTACTTTTCTATCAATTAGCCAGGAGTTTGCAGGGACTGATAGTCAAGAAACTTCAGTCGTCCTTGCGGCCCTGTATGTATGTATTTGTGTAATTACCAACACATATGAAAGCTCAAGATCATTGCATGAAAGACAAATTACTAGCCTTAACTCAAGGGTACCTCCAACAACAAGAACTGGCCATCCTGGTCCCCCTCAGTACAATATACAACGTGAGCAAATTATGCACTGTTTATCACTTGGAATGAGTTGGCAAAGAACTGCAGTCTGCTTAGGAATCAACAGGAGCACACTGTACAGACACAGACAGCGGCTTGAAATTAGACCACTGACCTATGCAGGAATGTCTGATGAGGTTCTGGCAAACACTGTTCGCGAGATCCTTCAAACTACCCCTAATGCAGGGGAAAGGTATGTTTTAGGGAGTCTTCGTTCACGGCACATCAGAATACAACGTTGGCGTGTGAGACGCTGCCTGCAACAACTTGACCCGGTTGGACGGGCTTTTCGCCGCCGCCGTGCAATTCGTCGAAGAGTTTACAATGTTCAAACTCCCAATCAATTATGGTGAGTATTGCATGACATTAAATTAAGTTATGTGCCATGAATGCACAAGTAATATAGTAGATATTGCTAGTGGTAGAAAGTAACACATGACATTATTGCAAGTAGGCCTAAAATGCAAGTAAAACTTTAAAATACACTTATTATTTTTTGCTAGTCTTCCTCCACTGGAACTTTATTTTACGTTAAAAATATAAATACTTATATAGTCAATAAAGGATGTCCTTTATCATGTGTTTTTGTCTTAAACAACACAAACTGAGTTCATGCTGTGAAATAAAAAAGGTGTTGTAATTTGGAAGGACTAGTCCTGACTTCTAGAAGGGCAACCATGTGATGGACATTCTGGTTCTGTATTAACAATATTCATCATGGTTGCAATTTTATTTGTGTAAATATTGAAGTTTTTTCTCTCTACAGGCATATAGACGGAAACCATAAACTGGTGAGATGGCGGATGGTGTTTCATGGATGTGTTGACGGCTTTAGTCGCACCATCATTTATTTGCAATGCCTCAATAACAACAGGGCATCAAGTGTTCTGGGACTGTTTTGTACTGGTGTACACAACTTTGGCCTTCCCTCAAGAGTACGCTGTGACCATGGCATGGAAAACACAGGGGTTGCCAGGTATATGCTAGAGAGAAGGGGATTAAACAGAGGTAGTGTCATTACGGGACGCAGTGTCCATAACCAGAGGATAGAACGGCTGTGGGCAGAGCTTAACAGAGTTGTCTCGTTCCACTTTAGTAACCTTTTTACCTTCATGGAAAATGAGGGCATATTGGATTCTACGAATGACCTCCATTTGTTTTGTCTTCACTACATCTACCTGCCAAGAGTTCAAAGGTCAGCTGCTGAATTCCAAAATCAGTGGAACCACCATGGATTATCTACAATGGGTGGACAAACTCCTCTCCAACTGTGGCAGAGAGGAGTTCTAAACAGTGCTGGAGCTGGAAACTTGGCAATTGATGACATTTTTGAAGGAAATGAGACAGTTGGAGTCAATGAACACATCCCTTTACCATTAGTGACAGACAACAACATTGTGGTTCCGGTAAATGACTTTAATGTTAATCAAACCATGATGAACAGAATTGAAGAACTATTTGACCCTTTGAGTGATGATGGTAATCACGGCATATCATTTTTTTTAGTTCTGGTGAATGTTCTTAGTGAACAGTAAACACTGGAAATGGTTCACACTTAAAGTAACAAAACAAGCACTGTTTTTTTTTTAAACAGACTGAAAGTAAGTTATATATTTATGTGATTTGTTGCACCACTGGGCCATAATACCTTAATGATGTGCCCAGTTACTCAGTCAGCACTAATAAAGCAATATACAATGGTTGATAAATAATAAAAGTGACTTTTAAAGAATAATGTTTTTTTGCACTTCGCTAAAATTAAAAACAAAAATTGTTGTTCACATTGCTTCAAGAACCTGGCTGAAACCTCCTGAACGAGGTAGATGGAACGAACATAATGTTCCCATTACTCTCTTCCAAAACCCTGTGTGTTACCTAGTGCAAAGTCCATGCACTCTTTAAAATCATCATAAGTCTCAAGCAGCGGCAACTTCAGGCAGTTTATGCAAGTGTTCGCCATGGGCAGACGCTGTTTGGGGCTGGAGGGATGCCCATGCAGGAAATCAATTGATGGCTGAGGAGAGAAGCCAACTGGAGGGATGACACTTGCACCTGTTGCAAAGGCAAGGATTTTCCCTAACTTTGGTGGTCCCTCTTGATCTAAAACACAGTAAAGCAAGCAAAACAATAATTACAATTTTAAACCATACCAGCAAGTACAAAATACCATACAGAAAAAATCTATTAGTAAAGAATGAAAGACAAAGAAACCAAACATGTGACAAGTAAGAGGATATTTTAAGACAGAAAGAAAGGAAGAAAAAGGAAATAGAATCAAAGCAAGATTAAGGAAAAAGGCAGACAATGAAAAGAGTAATGTCAATGTGGCATTAGTATGTAATGTTGTAGCAAGTCTTTGCACACCAAGTGATCAACATCATTGGAGACAGTACTACATCTAGCAGCAGTATTAACCTTCCACATCCTGCAGGTAATCCCTCCAAAAGGGAACCACAACTTCCTCTGTCCTTCTTTTGTTGCTTCCCACTTCAGACAGCAGGATATGGAATAGATGGTCCATTACGTCAGCAGTGAGAGCCGATGGTTCGTGGCACATCAAAGGCCGGAAACTTTCTGGATGCATTTTAATTGCATCTAGAACGCCAAGGACCTTTAGCCCCTCCTTAAATCTACAGTATACAAATGAGGGTCAAGAGAAGAATTTGTGTGAACAATTGTGCTAATAGTAAAGAACTAAAGAGATATATTCCATCACCATTGCAGAAAAATAGCTCGAAAATAAAAAATGTCCATCAGAGATCAGTATGAAATCTAAGAGGGCAAAAACAAAGTTTGATGTTTGTGACAATCTTTAATTAATATGCTCAGACTTGCCAAACAATTGGGAAAATTAATTAATGTAATTTGTTCAAAAAGACATACTTCAGAGCTTCATTTACAGGGAGTAATATGTTTCTGACCACATGAACTGATTTGATTGTGTTTTTTATATTCTTACACAGCCCTATTTTATAAGGAACAATCTCTTTTCAATAAAAATATACACGTTCAAACATTTTTCTTCTTGTATCTTTGTTTGAAAAAAAGGTTTAAAATATAGTCAGCTTTAGCTTTTTTGTTAGCACCTAAATTATATCACTAATTTGGTTTATAGGCAATAGTGTTGCACAAACCTTTCAAATGCTCCTGCAACTCTGTGGACCACCTGGAACATGGTAATGTCTTGGACCAACAGGTCTCTGTCTTCTATGGATTTCAAAGGCCTGAGACACCCTGCATTTGCAAGAAAATCTTGGAGTGGTTCTGTGGTGAGAGGTCATTCAAAGAAGAACATTCTGACACCTACAAACAAAACAAAAAAGAAAGTTTGAGATGAGCTGCTGCTTGCATCGAAAGTAGACGAGTGTAGCCGAGTGCAGTCGGGGGAGGAACCACAAAGCATGGGTCAAGTCAAACAGCTCAGGGTTGGCTCGACTCAACTGCAACGGCAGAAGAAGCGCCTTTACTGCGGATTATGTTGTTATCAACAGCAAATACTACAAAAGAGGCATGAATCTAAGAAATCAGATATATCACCACAAATATCTTGCTGTTTTACCAGAGCAGTAAATATTTTCTGTTGGTGACACAATGATCCTAAACCTGTACTTTTCATTAAAAATAGTTTAGTAATAGTTTAAAATCATGTATATAGAAGGCAGACCAATTATTTCTTTCAGGAGTTTAGACTGGTGTAAGATATGGAAGACATCAAAATAAATTAAATTGTTAATATCAGAAATCCTCTTATTAAGTACATCTTGTACTGCTAACGTGGATTTACATAAAGATTGCAGCATAATGCTGAAAAATTATAACAAAAGTAACGTAATTATTCCGCAGCCAATTGCAGACTTTGAGATGAGCTAGAATGGCACGGTTACGACCAATGAGCCTATAGCATTTGCAGGGGATTTTGAGGCAGACAGGGTCTGTGTGACATATCTGCTTCGCTAAAAAATAGTGGTTTAAATTCTGAACACATTTGACTGGCTGATTATAACTCAGTGCTATATCCATTTATGTTAGACACCCAAGATTACTGAGGAAAATTTATTTTGACATCATGGCATCCTTTTTAACTTATTTACTAAACTATATAAGTGACCAAATAAATTGCTTCAGTAAACAAATATTGTTTCTATTATTATTTTCATTTTTGTGGTCAAGCTGTGGCATTCATATCGAATGAAAATATAGTCAAGATTTGCATATTCCAATATATTTACAATGCATTTACCTTTTTAACCTTTTCATAAAGGTCAGCGTCAACAATGTCCTCCAAGTCAGGCTTAATTGAGGAGTGCCCACCAACAAGACACGAATACAGTGTTGGTGCAAGGAATCCTGGTGGAGGACCCCCATGAACAAGGCTAACAGCAATGGCCTGTCCAGCAATGAAATACCGATCTTCTCTTAAAGCTGGAGAAAAATTTGATTTATGAAAAAACACAGTATTAAAAGAATGGGAAAGATATTTGACTAAAGGGCTGTGATCATAAGGAGTCCCAATAAATTAATACACATCGGCCAAATATATCACACTTACCAGCACTGTGTAGAGCCAAGTTCAATTTGCTGTCCCTTCCTTCAAACATTGGTGACCGTGCCAATGCTTCCATAAGGAGTCTTAAAAACTCTCTCCTTGGGCCACCAAGGTCCACAGCCTCTTCATCTATTCCCAAGTCATCGGAAAACTTGACGGACATCTGGGATGCAGGATTGTAGGAAACTCGTTTGAAGCCACGAACAGCACCATCCAGAACTGCTGACCTATTTATGTTAAACCTGCATCTTTGGTTTGTGTCAATTTTGGATGCAAGATCGAGGAGCACTTCCTGTGAAGACTTGGTGTTTGCGATTTCCCTGTAGAAAGAAAAAAATGTTTTAGGATAGGGATAAGAGCATACCTTTCAACAACAAAACCCCCATTGCAAACCTAAAGGATTTTACAAGTGGAAAATGGCTAGTGGCTGATGTGCCTATATGAAGTCAATATTGTAAAAAGTCCTATCAGATTCACTTCATGCTCACCCTGTTCCTGTTTATCTTTAATTACTGCACTATTTTTATCACCCACTCACTTACATATTACTCTGAAGACTGGCCATAATCGCTTGGTTTAACTCCTCATCATCAGATGAATGGTCAGAGATGGAACCCATGATCGAGAGGTAGGTAGTATAGTCATCAACTGCACTGCGCTGGGTCTCTCTGGCCATGCTGCCACTGGATTCTAGCTCAACCGCACTGCGCTGGGTCTCTCTGGCCATGCTGCCACTGGATTCTAGCTCAACCGCACTGCGCTGGGTCTCTCTGGCCATGCTGCCACTGGATTCTAGCTCAACCGCACTGCGCTGGGTCTCTCTGGCCATGCTGCCACTGGATTCTAGCTCAACCGCACTGCGCTGGGTCTCTCTGGCCATGCTGCCACTGGATTCAAGCTCAACTGCACTGCGCTGGGTCTCTCTGGCCATGCTGCCACTGGATTAAAGCTCAACTGCACTGCGCTGGGTCTCTGTGGTTATTCTTCCACTTGAAGATTGCTGCTCTGCCCCGGCTCGGTTTGCTCTGCCACTTCTTGTGAAAGGATAACTAGAAACCAGTGGTGTTGATGCAATTTGGTTTCCTCTAGCCCTTGTCACACAGTCAGGGGTAGCCTGAGTGGAAATGTGCTGTTCACTGGATGTGGATTGTGTGTCTGCCATCATACCATCCTCTGAATCTGAGCTGTCCAACTAAAACAAAACATACAAACAAAAATGTGAACAAATAATTAAAAAACATAATATAAGGGGTTAAGTTCATTGGGAAAACAAGAAACCTCTGTGCTACAAACAAATTACAAAAAAATAAGTATCGCTTCATATCGTTTGAAATTGGTTACCGTATTTTGAAGCATGCTTGATGGCCTGATGTACACTGCCTTTGACTTAAACACTTTGTGAATTAGAAAGCCATTCAGTTCCTGTCCCTCACGCAGCTTTGGTGAAACAAGTTTGTTTCCACATGGCATCAAAAGTTCAATACTGAAAAAAAAGAGCAAAATACAAATACATAAAATTATTCTGAAGCAATCAACTCATGAACAATACCAGACATAGCCTAAATATTCAGACAATACCTGACTCCCTCTGGAATGTTGTCCTTGAATGCTTCCCTTAGCTCAGCAATGACTGTCCTGCAGTCCCAGATTTTCTTCATCTCGAAGGCATTTAAAATAAAGCCTTTTTGATGAAGCCTTCTCTTTGTTTTGTGCTTACAAACTGCATCCCATTCTGGATGAGGTAACAGAATTACATCCTTGGTGAAGGTGGGGTGATTTTGGACAGTGCCAGTGGTCCTAAAAAAGAAAGCAACATTATTGTTAGATAGATAGATTAGATAGAATAGATAGATACACTGTAGATCCTGAGGGAAATGTTGACATCCAGTAGCAATATACATGCAAACTAAACAACAAAAACAACAACCCCCCCCCCAATAAAAACACTTGCAATATTAGATTAAACAAAATACTAAAAGAGAACTGAGAAACTGAAAATTAAATTAAATCTGTAACAATTAAGTAAAAACTGTATTGTACTGTACCCAAGGTTATCCCCGATGTTGTTGCGGGAGCTGAATTACTGGGTAACATTACACTGGACACGCGTGATGCTCGCGAAGCATTGGCGAACACAGAGGACATGGCAGGCGTTTGTTGTTTATTCCTTACCTGGGTCTTATGTTTCGCTGACTGCGTGTGTGATTCCAAAAGCCTTTACACACTAGCATAAGGTGCAGCGGGCTTCTAACACGTTCCCCTTCACTAGTTTCAACCAAGCACTAAATGCCCCTTTCTCCAACCATATTCGGTTAAACTTACACTTCCCCATAATGTTCGTAAAAAGATGTGAAGATACCTCCGGCTCTGAACTGACGCTAGCTAACGCTTGGTTGCTAGTTACTAGCTGGGTGTTCTCCAATAAGGGGCCAGGGGATGCAAAGTTATTGCAGCAAGTTATTGGTTCCATGTTGATTTATTTCCATATAAATAATTTGGGGGGGGAACTGCAACACAGAAGTACCTTCCAAATCCGTTTAAAGACCTATTAAATCATATTGAAGACCTTTCTTGATTTTTAAAATCATATTTAAGGGCTTAAATTCTGATTATTAAATGTAAGGCTTTTTAAGACCCCGCGGGAACCCTGTGATTAGTCTCGTTTCTAACATTTGACTGCCCCGCTATAGTAGGTTAATAAAGCGTTAGCTTCAAGCAGTAAGAAACGGCTTCAATCAACAACATGCATATTAAAATGACCACGGTTGACATTTAAAAAATAAACGTACCTCTTCCTTGACTTTGAAGTCCATCCAAAATACTGCTGAGTTTGATATCGGGGTTGCAGCACTTGGTTCAGGTTGGCGCCTAATGAGGCTCCACCGCCACTCCCTGATGCACCTGATCCACGTCTGAAGGCCCGCTGCAATTCCTCGTCAACGCTCGCACTAGAATTGCCTACTGTGGACGACGTCGACTGTCGCCTTTGATCCATCATTCCTGACAGCGATGTGACAACATTTGGAGAAGGCCTATCTAAAATATTAGTTAAGAGGCCTATGGCTTCATTAAGTCGCTCCCTTTCCACCATTTTCTCATCTCACAATGGCGCTATGTGGGGGTGGGCGGTGTCCGTCAAACAAAAAACGTACAGCCAATCAGGAACTGAGAATTTAGTCCAACTTCCTTTTCAATCATACTCACTTCCTTTTCAATCATACTCTCTCACACACATAACTATTCTTATGCACACACCCTATCATTCTGTTTATACACATACCTATATAGTCATTCACATGAACTATTATTACCTCTTATATAAGCTATTATTCGGCCTTTCATTCACTGCTATTCCGTTTTACATAGACAACTATTGTTATTAACATGAAATACTATTCCCTCTTACATAGGTTATTATTCTGTCTTACATACATTGTTTACCGATTACACACATACTACTATCCTCTTTCACATACACTATTATAATGTTCTATTAGATTATAGTTGTATGTGAAAGACAATAGTGGTGTGTGTACGAGAGTATGATGGTGCGTTTAAGAGATTTTGTTTTTGTGTGTGAGAGAGAATAGTTATTTATGTATGATAGTATGATAGTAAATGAAGGAAGGAATGACAGTACGTTAAAGACGGTATGATACTGTGTGTGAAAGAGTCTGGTGGTGTACATGAGAGATTCTGATATTGTTTGTAAGACCAAGTATGAGTTGTGAGCTAGACGGCCTCTCATAAGAAAACCACCCCCGCACCACACTGGATCAATGAACGCACACACACACGCACACGCACATGCACACACACACACATATACACACACACACACACACACACACACACACACACACACACACACACACACACACAAACACGCAAACACACTCACTCTTCATGCACGCGTGTAAATAACAGCAAAGATATGCCTGAAGACACTCTTTTCCCTTATGCATGCTGTATACATTTAAGGACGTCCTCTACAGAGCTGCAGGGGTCTCCGTGTGTTAACTTCAACCAAACAAGCCCACACAGAGAGTCACATGACACGATCCTGAGTAAAGCCTAAAGAGATCTACAGATTCTATACAGCCAATCATTACTTATAAGATCAATCAGAAGAAAATACTCAGTTGAATGTATCATTGGTTGCTGTGTGTTCAGATTTGTATATATCCGTACAATTCACTGGGTTGGAATCAGAGCAGGAAAGTACCGTTGTAAATGTACTGAAATACTGTATTTAAGATCAGTTTGAGGTAGTATTTTAAACTTGTACTCTACTACAATTAATAGATACATATTCCACTGTTTATTCCACAACAATTACTTTACTGCTTAAGTTACTTTGACGTCTTCAGATTCGGATTGATTATCCATTTAACAATCAACTAATATTTAATGATGTACTATTAAACATTAAGAACAGACTGGATTGATTCCTCAAGGAAATTAAGAAGATATGAGGCAGTAAATAAAGTAAAACAAATGTAATTTAGCAGATTTCATTTACCAGATGCGACATTAGTGCATCAATGAATAAAACTTAATGATATAATAAATATTTGTTTCTGAAATGGGCCAACGCAGAAATAGTACTTCAAATGTTTCTGACTTTGAGTTCATCCATTAAATTCACAGTCCATAGAGGATGGACCCTCATGAATTTTGTGTGTCATCATCGCTATATTAAAACTATGTAGTATGCATGTTTTCAAAATGGATATGTCCTGTAGTGTAAGCCTCTTTTTCTCATGTTTTAAATTAAGTTAATCACTTTTTGAAATATTATAATGAGTTTTAAGGTGTCCACAGAGGACAAAAACAGAGCATTTACAGCGATGTTTATTAATATGATCATTCTCTGTTAATCAAATAAATCAATGAAATGAGGTTTAGGGTTTGTAGATTGAGGCTCTTGGTGTGAATCCCGTAAAATGTGTTTGAATCGTTCTTGTTCCTGTTGATCAGCCACTATTTCCCCTCAAATCCCTGACCTTCTGTCTGCCTGACTGTCTCTCAGTTTGTCAGACGGAGTCATTGTTTTGGCGGCTCAGTAAAGCCGTAATCTGTCGCTGGCCTGGCTTAATAATAAGCCTGTTCTGAATATTCCTCCTCTGTGAGTTGGTCGACTTTCAGCAGCGGGGACGGATCCTCACAGAACTAGGACAATTAGAGCGGCACCATCCATGTGCTCGCTTTGTGAACCATTTTACTTTCTGAATCAATGATTTAAAGCAATGTTTTTTCTGATTGTTTCTAGTGTCATTTCTTTTCATTTCACTTTAGATCTAACTTACATTTCTTTGTATTCATTAGGGATGCTCCGATCGATAGGTCACCGATCGAGATCGGCCGATACTCACTCTCTACCGATCGATCGGTGCTCTCTAAACATGCCGATCGCGAGAGCCGATCGCGAGAGCCGATCGCATGACGTAAAATACATGACACTTTTCTCTGTGCCTCTGTCTCAAAACAAGCTCGCCAAAATGGCTTCACTAGTCTGGCAGTATTTGAAGGTGTCCGAAAAAGACAATAAAATAGCGGTATGCAACGTGTGTGTGAAGCAGAAATCCTGCAGCTCCACCCGCTGTGACGGACCGGTGAGCGGAGCAGAACACACAAGAGTTAGACCTAACACACTTAGCTATTTTATCTACCTCTGGAACTAGCTAAACTAGTTATAAATATATTTATTCTTCACTGTCGGGTCACTCATTACTGGATCAGTGAGCTGCATGAGACGATACTGACAGGCTGTCAGGAGGGAGAGAGGGGGAGAGAGAGGGGGAGAGAGGGAGAGAGGAAAAGAGAGCGCTTCCGCTCATTTCTCCCGTGGTATTATCCAAAGTGAATGTAAACTTGAATAATGTACATCATTTGAATGTAATAATGAAGTTGATTGTTGTTTGTGGAAGCTCCAGTGAATGAGCCCCATTAACTGAGTTTTAAACATCCCTTTAAATGAAAGATTTAAAGTGATGTTTAAATCTTCAATTTAGGCCCCGCCCACTCGATCGGATCGGCGATCGGTATCGGCCGATACTGATTCCGGCGATCGGCCCCAAAATTGGCGATCGGAGCATCCCTAATATTCATGTGACACAAGCATTTTGTTTGAACTCATCTTAACGTTCTTTATTGTATTGTTTTTTCATCCTGTTTCCTCTTGGTTTGGTCCCTAAAAACCTAAACGTTTGCTCTCAACTGAAGTGCAATTGAACCCTTGAACTTCTTTAAACACCAAAAGGAATATCAGGTCTATTTATTGTAGCTCTGTGATCATTTTCTGGGTGACTTTAGGAGTTCAGTCAGAAAATGAGGGATCAGACAGCTCAGTGTGCACTCAGACACCCGGGCTAAGATTTAGAGAGGGAGAGAAAGAGAGGAGAGGGGGAGATAGAAGTGGAGGGCACTGAGAGATGACAGAAAGAGTGGAAAGAGAGGGAGGGAGCGAGACCTCGAGGGAAGTTGGGCTGTGAGCAGAAAGAGGGCAGAGGATGAGGAGATTGGCGGCTAATGAGAGAGAACTGGAAGACGGAAAAAGAGAAGCTAGCGATGCACTAGACTCGAGGATTATCAGCCTGACTTACACCTGATTTACCCACCCTCAAAATCAGCGGGGGTTAACTCAATCCAACTGTATATCAGTGAAGCTTTCCGTTCTGCCTTAAAAAGACAGATAGATATCACTTATATATATATATATATATATATTCAAAATGGGTATCATCCAAAGATAATGAAAGTCAAACTTTCCAGTGACTCGGAAAATCATCAAAAGAAATTCATGAAAATATCTGCCTCTCTCTGTAACTGATTTAAATTGGGTGTTTTTGGATGTTGAGTGTTTTTGGCTGTGTCAGTAGAGTTTGGGTGGAAACAGATAGTTTGGCCTGAGGGGGGGAAAACACTGAGAGAGAAAGAGAGAAGCTATTTGATGTAGAGAAGGGAAATGCAGACTCATTTTTCTCCTCTCCTAGTCAGAAAATATTAACTTTGGGAGGTTTATGTGAAAAAGAAACAACGATCTTATGTATAGATATGTATAAATCAAAGAGGGAAAGACAGAAGAGAACACACACATGTGTACTGACGATGATAACATCTATTAAAATCAAATAGTGTTGAGTACTGTGTTAGTATATGTAGAAAGAAATCAGCCAGTTTGGTCCAGACTGAAATATCTCAACAACAATAGGATGAGTTCATTGATACTCATGGTCCCCAGAGGAGTATTGGAACAAATAGGGTTGAGCACTGTGGCAGCATACAGTTACAAATATGTGCTACTTTGGTCAAAACTGACGACAATTGTATTTAATGGAGGATAATATGGCAAACTAAAAGAGTGCAGAATGTTTACAGTGTGCTGTAGACCTAGGGTGCGTCTCACTTCTCTTATTTTTCATTTCCTCGCTCCTCGGGCTCGGTATCACCGGAAGTTGATTTGTCTGCGCCATCTTGAGTAGCGTCCCAGTGGCCTTATTTTTGCCGGAGGACCGAGGATCGAGGATCAAGGAGTGATAACGGAGGAGCGATAATCGAGGAACTTACCAGACCATCCTCCGGTGAAATCCTCATACACTCGCCCCGCCCCCTTACTGTGTATCGCTCACTGATTGGACGATGCAGCGAATGCACTGATCTGGCTGCTGTCAGACGATCAGCTGTGCGGCGTCATTACAAACGGACGTCGCTTCACGTGACGCTCCGGAGGAAACAACGTCCCATTGCTCTTAAAACTCATTTCCCTGCTTCTCGTGGTTTCCTTGCGTCTCTCCATGCTTCCCTGGTGGGAGGGACTAGTCACAGGGAAACGACGCAAGTGAGGGACGCAAGGAATCCATTTAACCGAAGTGAAACGCAGCTCTAGTCTTGTCTACAATCAAATCAGCCTGTGTGTAAATAACCAAGTCAATGGTCTGTCAGATGGCAGAAACTCTTTATTTCTGAATGGTTTCATGCTTTGAGTTGGTCGTCCTCTTTAGAAAAAGATGTTATATTGTACAAATGGTTTGGTTTGTTTATGGAGAACAAAATAACTACTGTACAATAGTTTACCAAGACTGACAACTGAACGTGAATATACAT